TTTCCACTTTTCCACAGTCCATTTTAAATGAGCCTTGGCCCAGAGAAAACGCCTGCGCTTCTGGATCATGTTTAGATATGGCTTCTTTTTTGACCTATAGAGTTTTAGCCGGCAACGGCGAATGGCACGGGGGATTGGGTTCACCGCCAATGTTTTCTGGAAGTATTCCTGAGCCCATGTTGTGATTTCCATTACAGTAGCATTCCTGTATGTGATGCAGTGCCGTCTAAGGGCCCGAAGATCACGGGCATCCAGTATGGTTTTCCGGCCTTGACCCTTACGCACAGAGATTGTTCCAGATTCTCTGAATCTTTAGATGATATTATGCACTGTAGATGATGATAACTTTCATACATTTCCTACCATAAATATATCAAAACTTAATTTTTGATTAGTAATATGCATTGCTAAGGACTTAATTTGGACAACTTTAAACATGATTTTTTCAATATTTAGATTTTTTTTGCACCCTCAGATTCCAAATTTTCAAATAGTTGTATCTCGGTCAAATATTGTCCTATCCTAACAAACCATACATCAATGGAAAGCTTATTTTTAGATGATGTATAAATCTCAATTTCGAAAAAAAATGACCCATATGACTGGTTTTGTGGTCCAGGGTCACATATATGTATAATATATATAGGTATAAGTAATTAAAAAAAGAGTTCCTGACAAGCTCATGATGACAACATTTATTTAAATATGATTCAATCTTTTACTCCATTTCATTTTGTATCTTTGTTTTCATATAAAAAATACAAAGAAACACAAATAAATATATAACAAACATCAAATATGATATCTGTACAGTTTGCAGCTCAGACAGGAGGATCAACCTCTGTCCCTGTGTAATAAGTTAAGTCAGGGTGGACATACAGTCACCGTCAGTCCAGTCTCAGTATGCAGTGACCAACTCCAGAAGAGTCAGCTGACCTGTGATGACTCTAGCAAGGAGGTCCCATCCAATCATTTCCATAGCAGCAGGTCACATTAGAGAATTTAAGATGTTATAACGTTCGATGTTGGGGATGCCAGCTCAAGTATAATTTCAGCAGCATACATGAGTGTGTTTTACGTTTTGAGAGCATCAATGGCGACGGCAATGATGCGTGGCATGCTGCGGTAGAACGCCTCATTCTCTAAACCCACCAAGCTGTAAAAGGTCAAAGGTCGCCCACCAACAGTGGCCTTGATCCGTGACTGATACAAACCACGTTCATTCTTAGAATTCAGGTCAACCAGCACCTGAGATGATGAACACACACAAAGAGATACATACAGAATTAAAATACAACACCACAGAAACATAACATACATTACAAACGTTTGGGGTACGTTTCTTTTTTTTTAGATTTTTAGTTTTTTTAATGTGCATTAAATGTGTATTAAATAACAAAGGTGCATTAAATTGATCAAAAGTGAAGGTAATGTAGAAGGCATTTATAATACTTTTTTTTCTTTTGAACTTTCTACTCATCAAAGAATCCTTAAATACCTAAATATTAAGCAGCACAACTGTTTTCAACATCGATAATAAGAAGAAATGTTTCTTGATCAGCAAATCTGCATATTATAATTATTTATTAGACTGGAGTAATGACAGGTGAAAATTCAGATTTGCCATCACAAGAATCAGTTACATTAAAATATATTAAAATAGAAAACAGTTATTTTAAATGGTCATATTATATTTCAGAAAATAACTTTTTAAACTGTATTTTTAATCAAATAAATGCAGCTTTGGTGAGCATAAGAGACTACTTTCAAAATTACAAAAACTTACAGACCCCTAACTTTTAAACAGTAGTGTATATACTATAATCTAATACAACTTCTATACAACAATGTATACTTGTATGATCTGTCTGTCTGTCAAAACATGTACATAAATATCATATTTTTTACTTGCAAATGCAGTCTAGACCTTCTACGACACACACACAGACTCACCTCCTGGAAGATCATGTCTATGCTGTTAGATGAAACAGACAGGATCCAGTTGTACATCTCTTTGGTGGTGCTGACCAGCTGAGTTGATTCAGTTACTCCTGAGCAAACTACAAAACACAAAGAACAAAGCCTTACAACACAGTCTTTAAAAACAGTAAATAATAAAAACTGAATATAAATCTAATATTAACCTCATATTTCTTTTCAAATCATATGAATGACGCAGCTGAAGTGTGTAGGCTCCATGACACAATGAATAGAAATGCTAAATGTAAATGAAACGAGAAACTGTACCTTTGTCACTGGCTCCTCGTTTCTGTCGCTTGTGTAGATCTCTCTTTCTCCTCCACAGGAGCTCTGAAACAATTATTAGTCTATTAGTCTGGACATTCATGGTTTAACATCATTCTGCAACGCTATTGCAATAATACAACTGCACTGTAAAAAATTAAAAAATAAAGTATTTATTATTATTAATAATAGTATAATTAATATATTTTATTATTAAATGAATGCATTATTATTACTATTTATTAATTACAATTATTATAATTTTTTTATTTATATATCAATATTAAATTTACTATACTAATATTCCTGATTGTCCTAATTTCTTTGCTTTTAAACGTTAAATTATATGTATTTTATTCCGGTGTAAAATCGCAGAGAGACCTTATGACAAAAAGTGGTTATAGGCCATTCGAGGGTTTAAATTCAGTCTGAAGCTTATATTTTTGTTCAGTCATTTACATTAATTCTTTTTTAAAGTATATATGATTTGAATTTAACAGGTGAAAAAAAATCTAGTTATTGCAGAAAAGTCCTTTTAAGAACTTTTAGGAATTAAAGTTTCCTGTTATTCTTCCTCAATATTTTGAGGAAGACTTCCCATAATTACTCAGTTTCCCATAATTAACTCTTACTTCTGAAGAGTGGCTGTTGAATCAGGGGCATCTGGGTAGGGACAGATTGTTTTTCAAGCATTGAGTCAGAAGGTTCCTGGTTCTTGAGTTTCAGTGGTTGTGTTGAAGGTTCCACAGATCTGGATGTTGTATCCATATCATCCCGAGGGGATGCTGTCATCACCGGACGTCCTGTGACACTTCCTGTGCCGCTTCCTCTCAGAGCTTTATATATCAGAGCAGTCCAAATGTCAGCTGACAATACAGACTCCCTAGATTTGGCACCATTATCCTGTTGTTGTTTTCCAGTGGTGGGAAAGGTGAAATCCCTCTGAAACAGTTGATAGTCCAATTCTGGTATGACAGGAATGCGCAATGATTCTAGTTTGGAATGCAGGGCAGCAATGGAGGAGCGCAGTGATCCGTCGAGCTGCTGAAGAGATGCTTTTTTACTGTCCTCATCCTGAAAATTTCATCAAATCAAAATAGTTCATTGTTAACTAATGTCTGTCCGAAACAGAAATGTACTGAACATGCTGCTCCATCACATTTAAAACCTTATCTAAAATTAGAGTGTTTACCGGAGTGAAGAGTTGTTGCTCCTGAGACAGCTCCTGTGAGTTCTTTAGTTCTTTGTGTTGATCCAGATCTTCAGCAATGCCTGTAAGGTAGCTCTCCCAGTCGTCTACCAGAGGGCCCACTTGCTGGAATAGTGCTGGCCGGCCTACCTGCTCTATACTTGTATGATCTGTCTGTCTGTCAAAACATGTACATAAATATCATATTTTTTACTTGCAAATGCAGTCTAGACCTTCTACGACACACACACAGACTCACCTCCTGGAAGATCATGTCTATGCTGTTAGATGAAACAGACAGGATCCAGTTGTACATCTCTTTGGTGGTGCTGACCAGCTGAGTTGATTCAGTTACTCCTGAGCAAACTACAAAACACAAAGAACAAAGCCTTACAACACAGTCTTTAAAAACAGTAAATAATAAAAACTGAATATAAATCTAATATTAACCTCATATTTCTTTTCAAATCATATGAATGACGCAGCTGAAGTGTGTAGGCTCCATGACACAATGAATAGAAATGCTAAATGTAAATGAAACGAGAAACTGTACCTTTGTCACTGGCTCCTCGTTTCTGTCGCTTGTGTAGATCTCTCTTTCTCCTCCACAGGAGCTCTGAAACAATTATTAGTCTATTAGTCTGGACATTCATGGTTTAACATCATTCTGCAACGCTATTGCAATAATACAACTGCACTGTAAAAAATTAAAAAATAAAGTATTTATTATTATTAATAATAGTATAATTAATATATTTTATTATTAAATGAATGCATTATTATTACTATTTATTAATTACAATTATTATAATTTTTTTATTTATATATCAATATTAAATTTACTATACTAATATTCCTGATTGTCCTAATTTCTTTGCTTTTAAACGTTAAATTATATGTATTTTATTCCGGTGTAAAATCGCAGAGAGACCTTATGACAAAAAGTGGTTATAGGCCATTCGAGGGTTTAAATTCAGTCTGAAGCTTATATTTTTGTTCAGTCATTTACATTAATTCTTTTTTAAAGTATATATGATTTGAATTTAACAGGTGAAAAAAAATCTAGTTATTGCAGAAAAGTCCTTTTAAGAACTTTTAGGAATTAAAGTTTCCTGTTATTCTTCCTCAATATTTTGAGGAAGACTTCCCATAATTACTCAGTTTCCCATAATTAACTCTTACTTCTGAAGAGTGGCTGTTGAATCAGGGGCATCTGGGTAGGGACAGATTGTTTTTCAAGCATTGAGTCAGAAGGTTCCTGGTTCTTGAGTTTCAGTGGTTGTGTTGAAGGTTCCACAGATCTGGATGTTGTATCCATATCATCCCGAGGGGATGCTGTCATCACCGGACGTCCTGTGACACTTCCTGTGCCGCTTCCTCTCAGAGCTTTATATATCAGAGCAGTCCAAATGTCAGCTGACAATACAGACTCCCTAGATTTGGCACCATTATCCTGTTGTTGTTTTCCAGTGGTGGGAAAGGTGAAATCCCTCTGAAACAGTTGATAGTCCAATTCTGGTATGACAGGAATGCGCAATGATTCTAGTTTGGAATGCAGGGCAGCAATGGAGGAGCGCAGTGATCCGTCGAGCTGCTGAAGAGATGCTTTTTTACTGTCCTCATCCTGAAAATTTCATCAAATCAAAATAGTTCATTGTTAACTAATGTCTGTCCGAAACAGAAATGTACTGAACATGCTGCTCCATCACATTTAAAACCTTATCTAAAATTAGAGTGTTTACCGGAGTGAAGAGTTGTTGCTCCTGAGACAGCTCCTGTGAGTTCTTTAGTTCTTTGTGTTGATCCAGATCTTCAGCAATGCCTGTAAGGTAGCTCTCCCAGTCGTCTACCAGAGGGCCCACTTGCTGGAATAGTGCTGGCCGGCCTACCTGCTCTTTGAGAATAATATGTTGTTTAGAATAACAATATGGAGAACGGTGTATACAGATCTATACAGAAGCTACTTCATTTTGGAAAGCATTGTATATCCATCTTGAGCCCTGATTGGCTGTACAAATACAATGCAGAAAGGTTTAATGGCTCTACCTTTTTCAAGTGCACTTCTGCGTCTTCGTGGTATATGAGCAGAGCTGTACACATTCTCCACCAACTGAGGAAGAGTCTGAGTGAAGAAGGTCAGATCGACTTTATCTCTGATGTAGTCATCGGCCCTCTGAAGCAAATCCAGCAGAGTCTGCAGGAAGGAATGCAACTCTGTAGAGAGAAAGACACTGGACTGTGAGGAAGGCAGTAGACAGAGGAAAGGTAAATATATTTTAAAATATATTAAAATAGAAAACAGTTTTCTACATTTAACTGTATTACTGTTTTTACTGTTACTTTCTATTTTTTATCAAAGTATACTGCGAGTCAAGTTTGGACATACAGTACGTAACTACCCTAAATAATATATTTACTGACATATCACTCGAGACTTACTGATATAAAAATTGCAATTGAACTTTATTTGGAGTATGACTTGTGCACAATGCACATTTCTTAATTTCAAGCCTAAAATGTGTTTTAATATCACTATTGATGAGGATTATATGATCGTTGAATAATACTGGTCTTTAAATGCAAGATATTTAAAGTTTACCTGAAGTATACTTGCAATAGTTCCACTTTAGCACAATCAAATATACTTCAGCATATCTTTAGTTGGACCTCAGCACTACTTCTGCACAATTAAAGTGCATTAAGTACACAATTAGTTGTTCCAATTTAGCAGACTTTAAGTATATCAGTTTAGTATACTAAAAGTACAATTGCAGGGTATTTTAAACAAGTACATAAATATGTAAATGTATTTGTAGTATACTAAACATGACATGAATGTATTTCAAATGCATTTTAGTATATTCATTTTTCACTCGGGTAAATTTATGTTCTTAAAGTTTAAATTAAATGTAAATTAATTTAAATTAATTGTGCCTACATACTAATTTCTTTAAAAACTAGTTTAAATTCACTTTTTTTTTTTTTTAATTGATGAATTGAATTTCATAGAAGTCTATGAAACAGCTAACAAGAGCCCAACATACATGTGAACTCTTTAAATGCAGTTTAAAAAGCATCCCAGAATGCACTTTAAGGTGCAGAGCTACATAACTCACATACTTCCATTGCTGTTATTTCATAGTTTGCTAACTTTACTATTATTCCAAAATCTGGAAAATTATAATAATAAAGAATGAGTATGCACATCCAAATAAGCACTGTACTGTACTGTACTGTACTGTAGGTTAATTCTGTTTACATATGTAATTAGATTTTTTAATTTAAACTGTCTGAATAACTTACGGCACTTCTTAAACCGGCTTTGGCATTTGTCCTGAGCGAGACGCTGGCAGACAGAGGGGTCGAGGGTCGAAGAGCAGGATAGTGTGTAGAAGTGGCAGAGCGTGGTAAATTCTGACATCTGCTGTTCTTCAGACAGCTCAGTTGTCTTAAGCAGCTCAGGACATGTGGGCTCCCGACTCCCAAAGGACTCTGGAATTTGGAGAATGGAATGTAAATGATTTTGCAGGATTTGTGGCTTTTCATTGAGCAGAAAGAGTGGGAGGGTTTAAACTCACGGTGGTGGAGATAGTAGTGTGTAGTAGTAGTAGTAGTTTCAGTAGTGTGTGTGCAACATGTTGAGGAACTCACTCTGTATCTCTGTCATGACCCAATCAGAGAAGGCGGTGACCCGTGTGTAAACGCCAGGCTTTCCCCTCTCCCCACAGCCATCCCCCCAAGAGGTGACGCCAAACAGCTGAAACCGTCCTGATAAACGGTCCTGGAAGATCAACGGCCCTCCAGAATCCCCCTGTACACATGCAAAGAGACGGATTCAAGTCAGGTGATTGTAAAGCAGCTGTAGTGTTTATAAAGCATATGTGATGTTTCTTCATCAGGTGTGGGGTTCATAATGCAAGCTAGTATGACAATGTGGCGATACCTGGCATGAGTCAATGCCTCCAGACAGGTACCCAGCACAGAACATGGTGTTTGTGAGCAGCTCCTTCCCCAGTGCACTGCGACAGGTGGTGTGAGACAGCAGGGGCACCTTCGCCTCCATCACCACATCTGCAGAGGGTCCGTCTACACACATACAGAGAATCAAGACAAACATAAATAAACACTTCACGACATTTTAAGCAAACATTGTGTGATATTACTGAGCTCTTTTTCTAAAATGTGAGCTATGCAGATTTTCTTACCCTCATACAAAGAGCCCCAGCCGGCCACCAAGCAGGGTGTACCAGCCGGTGGATCCAGGTCAGAGGGCAGGCAGACAGGTGTGACCCGTTCAGACAGAATTACTGGAGAACTCAGCTCCACCAGAGCAATGTCATTATTAAACGTCTTTGGGTTAAACTACACCAAGAGAAAAGTATTGGACACAGATGGGACACATTTAAAAAAAAAAAAAAACACTCTGCATTGTTTTACATATTAAAAATATATATATATATATTATATAATATTACAAGGACGTTTTTTTATGCTTACCTTCGGATGAGTGATGATACGACTGACTTTCATGATCTGCTCATCAGGGTCAGTTTTTGTGAGGTCAAACTCTCCCACTACAGCTGTCCAGTAACTCTCACCGCGGCTCCTGATTGGGGGAGATACATTTTATATGTTCACAAAACGAGTACATTCACAAATAAAACAATACCACAAAGCACAATTTATAATCCTTTTCATTAAATGGTGAAAACAGCAATATGATGAAAGACAACGCTGTGGTTTATTACTTTTTAATGTTATGGAACATTTAATTGCTGTTAAAATTGTATATTGTTCTGCTATTTTACAACAGCTTGATATGTCGCTAATCCAAAAATCCACCTGTTGTATAGACCTTATGCGTCAGAGAGACAAATGCACAGAAAAACTTCAATTTTTGCGGTAGCTCACTGTTAAAGAGTAATTAGCTTGTGAAGTGGATTTACTTATTGTAGAGCTAACAAAAGTTATCATGTGCAATGTAATGTTCGAAACGGATGTCATAACAAATGTCAGTTGACCAGGAAGATTTTAAAACAAGTGTTTCATTCATACATTTCTTTTGACCTTAACTTTACGCTGTGGAAATACAAACCGGAGGACAGAAGACAACGAGCGCAGTGCTGAAAAGGGACAGGGCTAGATAAGGTCCATAAAAGTGCAAAATCATTTAGTGTTCTCAGTGGAAAATTTCTTATTAATACCAATAGCGAGATTTTAAAGTAGAAAGGCAACAAGGTGTCCAGTGTTGGGAAGTCTACTTTGGAAATGTAATAGGTTACAGATTACAAGTTACCCTATTAAAAATTTAATAAGGAGTGTAACTATCTCAATTACTTTATTAATGTAACTGATTACATTTAATTACTTTTGGATTACTTTTCTAAATTTCTAACAAATGTTTTCAACTGTTAATCATTATCAGATATTTAGAGTAGGCAGGGTTAACCTTACAGTACTCAACGCTGATTACTGTCAGACTTTCAAAATCCTTCATCACTTGAATTACGATTTATGAATTAAGATTTGTAAAAATTTAATTTTAAAGCACAGCCACCACAAAATCAGACTTTAGCACTTCTTTTTACTTTGAGATCGTTCTGAGGTTAAATACTGATTTAAAATCTTAAGAAATAGTTTAATAGCTATGATACTGTTTTTTTTTCATTAAACATTAATCAAATGTTTGCACAGCTATGACAGGAAACACTGGCATCTAACAATGCCTTGGTCAATCTTAAAAAATAAAGCATATACTTAAACCCAAATAGAAAATAAAAGTTATCAAATAAGCATGTGTCCTATTCTTTGTCCTAAACTCCTCACATCTTTTAGAGCAGTCAATGCAATTTGGGAAAGATATCAATTAAATCTGTATGTATGTGTGAACATATTCAGATGTAACCCCCTTTTGTAATCGTTGACATTTTCAAAAGTAACTAATTTAATTACACATTTTTTCTCTGTAACTGTAACTGATTACAGTTACATTTATTTTGTAATTAAATTCTTTAATGCCATTACATGTAACTAATTACTCCCCAACACTGAAGATATCCCACCTGACATTAAGTTTTTTAATTATGTAGGTATGCATTTTGTAATACATGTAATATGTATTTTTTACCCAGCAAAGCAGTGGGCGGCAGTGAGGACCCAAGAGCTGTCAACCAGAACACCCCCACACATCAGAGCCCCGTCCAGCCGAAGGTTCACCAGCCATGGCCAGCTGCCCAGAGGAGCAGGAGATCCCCCCATGATACGAGCACGAGGCTGTGTCAGGTTTTGCGAGACAGAGAAACGCTGGCCACACACAGCTACATAAGGGAAGCCAAATGATCAATGTCAAAGCTGAAATTGCATTAAAAGGGACCTTCACTATTTATATATCAGTAAAACTACATGTTGATTTTTAAAGAAATATTTGAAAGTTCTGAGTATGTTTACATAATCCACTGAACTTTTTGTGTTTTTTGTCTTACCCTGTGCTGTGGTTTGTGTGGCCGGCTCCAGGTTCTGCATGGTGTTGAGTAGACTGCACTGCAGGACCCGAACGCTGCAGCTCTCTCCCATGATTCTGATGCACAGGTCTCTGTTCACCTGTGCAGGTGTGCAATGGCATTTGTAGAAGCCACAGGCCTGACTCAGCAACCAGCTCCTCTCTCCTTCATCAGCTTCCTGCTGGGCGCGAGATATGACCTCACAGCTCGGCTCTGACTTTGTGTCCTTTGGAGATGCTACAGAGTAGCCACCACCATCAGCATCCGTGTTAAAAGTCAAAGAGTCAAATAAAGCATGTGTGTTCAAGCTTACCACAGGCGCCTTTTCGCTGTCCACAGTCCTGAAACAGACAGGGCACACACCCTCTGCAGCCTGCCTCGGCCTTGCTGCGGTCTGATACGGCAGTGTCTACGGCAGACAGAGCGCGGGACAGAGCGGCCTCCATCACTACTGTTCCTGTATCAGACAGCGCTGCAGAGAGAAGCAGAAACAGATGTAAGCAAAAGTGAGCACATCCCTCAAAACAACCAACACAAAGCAAATCAAAGGAAAACATTAAAAGTAGGTATAAAGAAGAAATATGAGACATTTAACCTCAGCGGAGCAGATGGTGTTTATGTGAATTAGAGAAGATGAATGCAATATTTTAGTTTAAACAATAAAATGGTTAGATATGCATATAAACAAATACAAAAACTTCAGGACAGAGACCCAACTAACAAAAATATGTGCTAAGAATGTTCAAAATGTCCAGATTTTTAAATGTTTTAAAAGCATTTAAAAACTCTTGGTTGTGCATACATTAAAAAAGCATTAAGGGACCATTCCATTTAATCATTTTGCAAACATTACAGTAATGTTACTTTTGAATGTTCTCTGAACAATTCACGAATTCCGTGAATGATGTATAAATAAAGTTTTTGTCCTAACATTTTGAGAATGTTATTAAAGACCTGATGACTTTGAATGAACTTTTTATTAACATTACTGAAGAGAACCTTGCAGGAACGTTCCCATTCCCTGTTAGGCGGGGAGAAATCCAACATTTGCAAACAGTCCGAATAGATTTCTTCAGCAAAACAAAACCAATTGGGAATCTCTCAATGCAATACTGGCTGTGATAAAACTACATTTATATAATAAATATTGTAATAAATGTAATAAATGTATATGAAAAAATCTATATGCGTGCAGTATTTGATCAGTAATGGTTTTTCCATCAGGACAAGTGAACAAAGTCATGCTCAAAGCAGCACTAAAGACACCAAACGCAAAGTTCAAACACACCGATTCACATTCAGCTGTCCCCTCTTCTCTATATCCCAAAGAGTGAGAGAGACATCAAAGCTGATTGAGATCTTAATTAACGGCCTGAACTCTGGCCTCTGTGGTGACTACGCTAAACTCCTGAACACTGTCTCACTGTGATGGCACACAAGAGTCGAGAACTGATTCTGGTTGCATTTTGGTTGAAAGTTCTACATTTGCAACACGTTTGCAACAAGATTATTGAAAAGAAAAAAAAAAGCATAATCATGAGATTGGTTTAGATGTCACAGTGTTATTGCATCTTCTAGATCTACACTCTCAGTCACTGGGGTGATACCTTAAAGTACAAAATCCAAAAGGTACATATTTGTACTTTATTTACCCTTAAATGGTACATGTTAGTACCATATAGCTATGTATTATTAGCCTACCTAAAGTGTACATATTAATAGCTTTTGAAAGGGTGCACAGACTAGTGACAGTTTTGTATCTTTCTTCTAAGAATGTAGAAGCAGCCAAAATGACAAATACCTGGCCTACCTTTAAGTGAGCTCTGTGGCATTCTGTACACCTCTCTCGCCGGTGGCGCCCCACCACACCAACCAATCACCATCAATAGCAGCAGTAACATCACACCCATGATTCCACTTCACCTGTCCACAGGTGAGTTTTCCAATATAAAAACGTATCTTCTAACAGCCTTAAGAAGTTCCACTTAAAAGCACAGGTGCACTGACACAAAGCAGTTCCTTTTGCATCAAGGCGTCCCACCTCCTTAGCTTTCTCTCACACTTCCTCTCGGAGGACCTGTTGGTGAAAGAAGCTGATGGAACAATGGAAGAGCATGGAGCAGCTCTGCAGATATATGCAAGAACACTGGACCTCTCTCTGAGGGGGTGGGCATCAGGGCCAATGCACTCCCAGTTGAATTCATTAAGACGATGAGAGCAAATCACGAGGAACTTGCCAAGGCTGGAAATGTTCTGTGGTGAGAGAAAAAGAGGGAAAGGGAAAGAGAAAGAGAGCCTGGATGGGTAGGGGGCGGGTTGTTTGAATTCATTAACGTTAGAGAGACAGAGAGGAGGGGGTGAGAGAGAACGAGAGAGGGAGCATCTGTCATTCAGCCAATCTCTGAATGAGAGCATTGTGCTCCTCCCTGAGAGTTCAAAGCAAGCGAATGTGGCGATCACAGGCACGCCGACCTCCTTGATCACTTTCACGCTTTTATGTGCTCCATTAAAATATTGTCAGTTCAGATCATTGCATCTTTCTCAGCTCGGCATAGCCTCATTGCATAAAAACATACAACATTAAAAAACAACAGTTCATCATTTGTTTACTCGTTACTGGTTGAGGGTTCGTAGAAAAGTTTGGGTTTTGCTTCTTAATTTGTTAGACAGTCACAGAAGTTGCTTTCTAAATCTTTTTTGAAAACTTTTTCAGTGACTTTTTCAAAAAACAAATTGAAGTTCAATGTTAAAATCAAATTTGACCTTTTTCAATAGTTTCAACACAAAATCTAATCAAATACTGAGCTCTGCATACAGTACGACTAAATCATGTACAGTATATGGAAGTCTAACTGCTCCTGTTGTTTCATAGGAATTGCTTGACATGTTATATTCAGATGAAAACAATTCCTTATAAAATAAAATAAACATATTATGTGGTAATTGGTACAATAAACTATTCTCTCATAGTAATCAATAGATTAATTGTTTCAATTTTTCAAATTATAAATGTAAAGATCATCAGAGAAAAGTTTTTGCCAGTGGTTTGCAACCTTTTTGACTCCAATGCCCCCCAACAATATTCGAAAGTCCCAAGACTTTTCCAGTTTTACTGGATAAGGAATTTTAAAAATAATTTTTACTCACAGTTTCTACTTGATAAAATATTTTACAGCTTGGAATAACTAGATAAATGTATAGCCATTATAAAAAAATATTATAAAGGTTTTATAAAGAAATCTCTTGATTTTTTGTTGTTTTGACTTATTTTAATACTTGTTTGTGACATTTTCATAATTGATCTGATGTCCGAGTATAAATGCCCCAGTTCTCAAAACACATATCAAAATATGTGGCATCTGAGCTTTTATAGAAACTATATTTCAAACCACTTTCTAAGATGCTTTTGGTGGGTGTATAATATCATTTTCCCTAGTATAGTTCATCACATTAACAATGATCATGGTACACTAATTTTGGGCAATGCTGTCCAATTACATTTCATAAGTCGCTTTGGATAAAAGTGTCTGCTAAATACATAAATAACATAAATGTACATTTTTGTACCATCTTTAAAATAAACAACTTGGTTTGATATTTAATGCAATGACATTAATACAGATTTAAGTGTGTAACATGTGAGATGAGCCAAGTGAGGCTTAGTGGCCTGATTCGTGAGATAATGGCACATGACAATTGAATGACTGTTCTTTTCTCAAATAAGGCAGGATGTGGCAATCAGGACAAAGTGAAACTTAAAGGAGCGAATGCACAGCCAGAGATGCTCTTCAATTCATCAGAGCTAATGACTGATAATTTTAAGTTGTCACATGGTATCAGGTTGGTAGCATCTCTTTGAAGTGGACTCATGACAGGCTTTGTGACAAAGTGTGGAGAGAGTAGCGAGTCCAACTAAAGGACAAGACAGGAACACTGTGTAATGTACGTGTGCTGAGCCTGCAGTCAGGATGAGAGACCCCAATTGGGAGTTATCTTTGAGCCAACTGAGCAACTGAATACAGAGAGGGCATGCGGAGCAGCAGGCCACTTTCAAAGTGCTTCACACAAGGCCTATGGTATGTATGTGTGTAGCGATTGAGAGAGAAAGACCTACTTTGAAATACAGCACCACATGAGATAAAGTGTGGATGTTGGTCAGAAGACAGAAACAAGCCGACATCTGATATTCATCACTGTGTGAGCAATATTTAAGGGTTGTCCTGGTGAATAATGTTTTAAAATACTGAAAAAAAAGAGAAAAAAGTAAACAGAACAGAAGATATGAAAATATCAAACGGAAAGATGGACTTAAAGAGTAAGAGTCTCCCTGTCTTCCATTCGCCTCCTTTTTTGGCATGCAGAATAAAAACAGGAGCCGACAGTGTGTTCCAGGCGTTCCATGTGGCCCCTGCACAATGGTTTTGCCATCCTAGTGCCAAACGAAGCACTGAGGGATGGCATGGAAAAAAAGAAGAAAAAAAATCAGGCGGCTGGTCTCCATTCATCTTTTGCCCCATTCCCTCCCTTCGCCCTGCTGCTCTCTTTGATGTTGCCTGATTAATCTGCCCTCCGCTCCCTTCGGTTTCTCTCATCCACTTTGTGGTGCTCCGCCACTCTCCTCCACGAACAAGATGCTGATCACAGTACTAAAGGCAAAAGCTGGATTCAAGGAAAAGTTTTGGAAAAAGGGAGAGAGCAATGGAGGACACTTTCAGTATCAGTGTTCAGTTAGGAATAAGTGAGCAGAGAGACCAATGATTACAGACAACTTCATATTAAAGCAATGTTCTGGGTTGATTATCCATTAAGCTTTACAAGATATGTGACATTTCGTTGATAACCTCAGAAAATGGTTTTTAAAAAATAATGTCTAAAGTAATGCACGTACAGCACCTTACAGACTGGAAGTGTATGAGGCAATGGATAAGGTTTAAAAGCACAAATGTAAAGCAATCATTTAAATTATTTCAAACAAAAAATGTTTTTTTTTTTTTTGTCTAAACACATTCTTTTAGTAGTGAGACAACTGTGAAATGTGAAAAGCGGGTTCTGGTTGAAATTTGCTTGATGTGAACAGTCTTTTGTGGATTCTTAAGACCCATTCTGGTCTCCTTGCCTGTTTCAGTAAAGTTACCGTATTTATATATGTCAAAATATCACATTTACGGCACAGACAAGTTTTATCAAAATAGTGCAATTTCAAAAGGTATAACATTTAAGTTTGTGTCTATACTTGCAGAAAATATTTTAGACTAACACTACCATTGAAAATTAAGTTTTGAGTTTTTTTGAAAGAAAGATATTAATTAATTGATCAAAAGAGACACTAAAGGTATTATAATGTTATAACAGAATATTACCATTTCCGCTCTTTTTAACTTTCTATTCATCAAAAAATCCTGAACCCCAAAAAAAGGAGATAGGGGTGTGAGTTATAGCGACTCACTCTCTCATTCTGTTGGAAGGACGAGCTTCGCGTTTGTCGTTTGTTGAGCCCTGGATCAGTGAAACCACTCATGTCGTCACAGCCTTGGGGTCTGACGCACAATTGGAGCCAATGAGAGGACAACTTGAGCTTGTGTGTGAGAAATTGTCGGCTTTTTCAAAATGACAGGGGGCAACAGAGGGAGGTTACATAAAGACATGGCACACAAAAACAAAAACGACACCCAAACAAGCCCTTCACAAAAAAAACCTGCGCAACAATAATGCTGAATAACACACAGGTATTGTGCACCAGTTATGAAACCATTTGTCTCTATTGTCTGGTGCTGAGAACAATTGAAAAGTGGGTCAGTGGGCTGAAAAAAATCAGCTCCCAACATTTCAGTTTGAGCAATTTTTTCCCAGAGAGTGTTTTCTGTGTGACATGCACGACCCCATTAGCTCATGTACCAAACTCTTTCAGAACACAACCTCAATGACGAAGACATCTGTCTGTATTAGATGATTGATTAAAAGGGTCATACTTTATCTTATATTTTTATTCAATATTTTTTCCCTACAGTCCTTTTATAATGTTAGTCAAGTTGTTTTGCACCAAAAATGTCCTTTTCATGATAATCTTAGTCTCTTAAACCTTTTTCTGCCTTCAATACAGTTTTCTTTTATAGGTCTAATATATCTAAGAAGATGGGTTTGTATTGAAGCCAACACGGAATAAAAAATAAAAATGCAACTTTATATCTCACAATTTTGACTTTTTTTCTACCCTTGGAATTCTTCTAAACTCACAATTCTGAAAAGTCAGAATTGTGAGTTTATATCTAGCAATTCTGCGTATATATCTTGCAATTCTGAGAGAATTCTAAGAATTCATATTGCAAGTATATATCTTGCAATTCTGAGAGAATTCTCAGAATTCTGCAATTGCAAGATAAACTTACAATTGCAAGAAAAAAGTCAGGATTGTGAGAAAAAAGGTTGCAATTGCCTTTTTTATTTCTTTATTTAATGCGGGAACCAAAAAAACTGGATTGTGAAATTCAGAGAAAAAAATCTGGACTTCGAATTCTGAGAAAAAAACTGTTGCAAAATATAAACTGAGAATTGTGAGATGTAAATCCAGAACTGCAAGGAGAAAAAGTCTGGATTGTGAGATATAAACTCAGAATTACAAGGGGAAAAAGTTAGAATTGTGAGATAAAAGTTGCAATAACTTTTTTCTTTTTTTTTATTCCGTGGCGGAAAAGGGCTTCCACAGGTTTGCTACACAAAGTGTTATGGTTGGACTGAAGTGAACAACTTAAGCCAGTGTTTCCTAACAATGGTCTCCATTTGAAGGATAGTGGCCTGATGCCTCCACTCACAGAATCTACTGAAGTCTGGTCAGAACAGGATTTAAAGGAAATGTCTAACCCACCATCACACTCAGTTAAGAAGCACCTCCACTCCAGACATCATACGGTCACTTATCATACAGCAACTTCTCATCTGACACTTAAATAGTAAGTGACATTAATAAAAGACTCTTCATCTCCACCCCGGACTCCCTGTCTCTTCACTCATGATCCAAAAACACCTACAGACACAAACAAAGCAGGAAGTGACATTTGTATAAAGACACTTTCAGTGCTG